ATATTCCTGTGAGGGACAGTTAGTGCAGTGCACAACACGACACAGCTGTGCTTCTTTGAGGTGTTTACCAAATGACCCAAAGAGTGACTTCAGCATAGGAGGGTTAATTTATTTCGCTGCTGTGACACAGCATGACAACCCAGATGAACTCACCCATGAAGATACGGTTCAGCTCCATCATGAGGTGCTTGAAGGTGACACGGTCAGAGGGAACCACATGCCAGCAATTCTTGATGAGAATGTTCACAGGCTCCAGGGAGTGAAGATTCAACGGTGGGAACTTATGCTGGGTGTACAGCTGAAGGACCTAGGACATGAATAAAACAAAACAACTGTAGTGGGTGTACAGGTGCAAGACCTTGGATGTAAATAAAAAAAAACTATGGCAGGTGTACAGATGCAGGACCTACGATGTGGATAAAACACAAACACCTGCAGCTGGTGTATAGGTTCAAGACCTAGGATGTAGATGGAACAAACCTATGGTCGGTGGACAGATGCAGGACCTATGACATGGATACAAGGAAAACACCTGCTGTGGGTGCGTACGGTACATGCACAATGTAGGTGCACGAACTACACATGTACCGTAGAATGTGGATAAAATTAAAAAAACAATGGTGAGTGTACAGATGCAGGGCCTTGGACGTGGATAAAAACACGTGCAGTGGGTGTATAGGTGCGAGACTATAATGTGGATAAAACAAGAAACCTATGGTGGGTGTATAGGCGCAAGACCTAGAACATGAATAGATAAAGAAACCTATGGTGGGTGTATAGGCGCAGGACCTAGGACATGAATAGATAAAAAAACCTATGGTGGGTGTACAGATGCAAGACCTACGACATGGATAAATTAAACACCCTCTGGTATACAGGTGCAAGAACTAGGACGTACATGTAGATAAAACAAAGAAAGAGGAACAAGTGGTTGAAACAACCTTGTCCTAACAGGTTTAATATTTGATTTTTACATCAACTAGTTCCGAAAGCAACATTCAGTTAATTTCTTGGGACAAATGCCTTTCACTAAACAGTTTGTTCCAACGCTGTCGGCAAGTGGCCATGAAAAATTTGGCCCGCCGCTCACCTCATTGTCCGACTTGTCCTCAAACGGAATCTTCCCGTAAGCCAGAATCTGCCAGAGGACCAGTCCAAAGCTCCACCGGTCGCTCTCCAGCGTGGGCTCAGCATTGGCTCGTATCAGCTCGGGAGGCAGCCAGCGAACCCTTCAAACGAGACGTTATAAGAAGAATGTTCTCAGAAAACTGAAGAAATTCATCACCAAAAATGAAGTGATGAAGTCACTCAATTTTTGCCCAAGTCACATCTTGGATACGTTCAATGTTACAATTTTTACAAACTTGTCATCTGTGAGCTGTGGTGCTACTCACTGAGCACCGACGTGAATCACATGCACAATTATGAGTGTAAAAGACATCAACCCTAACCCCCAAGGCCCTTTTTGCTAGGGGGCCCTCCAAAATCCTCCAATCGGGGGGGGTTTGAATAAATTGGATTCTCCACAATCCTCCAAAATCCTAACAACTTTCTTGAAAATGTTACTTGGAGGTGTGCCTACTGCATCAAAAATCCTCCAGCAATTCCTGTCATTATGTTGAGGCAGTGTGAATGGCATTCTTGAGCAGTGCGGTTGATTCAAAAGAACTATCGGGCTGAAGTTATGGATGACTAAGCAAAAACAACACAAGGTCTCAGCCACGACCTTCACTCATGGCATCCTTTGCAATCAGCCATACACTTCTGCCATTCACCCTCAATCCTCCAAAATCCTCCAAAACTGCCCGAAGGATTTTTTGAGGATTGGGGAGGATTAGGGTTAATGCGAGAACCAGCTGGTTCTAGACGTCAAGCTTCGGTACCCTACACATGTATGTCAACCAGTTCAACTCTGACCCTGTGTCTTTTGATTCATTCGTTTTTCTATATACTGTTAGTCAGTCAGTTTGTCTGTCTGTCCATCTTAGAATTTCAGTTTCCTCTCTGTTGGCAAGCCATGGTAATACTTGCTCAACATGGCGCCGCCCAGTTTGACCCAGACCATGTCCGGTTCGTCTGTTGATTCATCTGTCAATCATGTTAATACTGTTTGTTGGTCACTTTCTCTGTCTCTTTATCTTACCATTTCAGTTTCCTCTCCATGGGCAAGCTGTGGTAATACCTGCTCAGCATGGAGTCACCCAGTTTGACTCTGACCCGAGGAAGGCCTCTCACCACCAGGGTATTGTGGGCCGATATACTACCGTGAATGATCTTCCGTGATTCCTGACATGATCATGGAAAAACAATTCCTGTCTTCAATGTTTCAAAATACCAAGAACTCACTCACTGATAAATAACCGACTTTCTGAAAATAAAGTTAATCAATTAATCATGATGCGTGTTCAGTTTAATCCACCAC